AATGTTTACTACTTTATCTCAAAAGATAGCAGTCTATTATCCCAGTCTATTATTATTATAGATTGTGGTTGCACAGTCAGTCAGATGTTTAGACTGAATTTGGAAGTTTTGTCTATTGAGAGCCCTTCCTAAGGACCTGAACTAGGCAGATATTGTTGTTTAATAATATTAAACCTTTTTTCACAAGTTCTAAGCTGCTCCAAGTAAGCTGCCTTTTGCAAATAACTGATAAGTGTATTATCAACTTTCTGTATTGTCTCTGTTGTCTGAGCTACTTATAGCAAGCCTTCAATTTCTTTGTCATGTAGATTTTGCAGTTCTTACAATTTTACTTCTGTGAATATTTTGTTTTGTTTTATGAATCCTACCAGTTCCTTTCAGGAAAAAGATATTTCCTGCAGATATTCCAATGAACCATTGTTGCTACTTTGTCATCCCTTTGTTCGTAATCAGTTGGACAATCTTCTTGCTTCAGTTAACCAGATAGGCCACTGTTTCTTCAGCTTCTTTGCAAAGATGGCATTTGCTGTCTCTTTCTATCTTCTCAATTCTGGCTTTGTATGCATTTGTTCTTAAGACTTGATCTTATGCAGTCAGAATTACCCCCTATGTCTTTTTCTTCAATTTTTGTGCTTTTAGCCATTGCCAGGTCTTGTTTTTATCTGCTTTGTCTCCTTAAAAAAAAGTAGTAGCCATGTGCTTTGAGTTATGGCTCAGCAGTTTAAGATGCTGATCTTGACAGCTGAAAACCACCCAAGTTTGAGTCTCAAGTAACATGTGATGGGGTGAGCTCCCATTACTTGCCCCAGATCCTGTCCACCTAGCAGTTCAAAGCTTGCAGATGTGAGTAGATAAATAGGTATCACTTGGTGGGAAGGTAACAGCATTCTGTGCACCTCGATGTATAGGCATGCTGGCCAAGCTGGCCACATGACCATGGAAGTGTCTTTGGACAATACTCGCACCATTGGCTAGGAAACAGAGATGAATACCCCCTATAGTAGGCAGGGGAAAGCTTTACCTATATGTAATACATTGCGTCCCATTCATTCCCATCGAGTTCTTCCCAAGAACCTAGGATGTATGTATCAGCATAGTATATGTGTGGATCCTAGTAGAATGGCTTATTATTACTATTATTAATATTATTCTCTTATTTAAATTGATCTCAGTCCTAGTATACTGAAAATAAATATGCAAACATTCTATTTTATCCTCTTAAATTACAGTAATTAAAATAATCAATAGGTTTGCATAACACAAGGAAGAGAAATTCTCACTTCCAAAATAGTCTGATTTAACACTTTAAAGCTCCTTTAACCTGAATAAAATTGCACTTCAAAGGTTAGGAGGCTTTATACACACACAGACACACAGACACACAGACACACAGACACACAGACACACAGACACACANAGAAAGAAAGAAAGAAAGAAAGAAAGAAAGGGAGAAAATGAATCAGAAAGAAAGGGGGAAAGGGAGAGAAAGAGAGGGAGAGAGAGAAAAAATGAAAGAGGGAGGGAGAGAGGAAAAGAGGGAGGAAAAAAGGGAGAGAGAGAAATGGAGAGGAAAAGGGAGGGAGAGAGAAAGAAAGGGAAGGAGAGAAAGAAAGAAAGAAAGAAAGAAAGAAAGAAAGAAAGAGAAATAAAAAATGAGAGAAGGAGGGATATAGGAAAAGAGGGAGAAAAAAGGGGCAGAGAGAAATGGAGAGGAAAAGGGAGGGAGAGAGAAAGAAAGGGAGAAAGGAAGAAAGAAAGAAAGGGAGAGAAAGAAAAAATGAGAGAGGGAGGGAGAGAGGAAAAGAGGGAGAAAAAAAGGGAGCGAGAGAAATGGAGAGGAAAAGGGAGGGAGAGAGAAAGAAAGAAAAAGAGAGAGAAAGAGAGAGAAAAAATGAGAGAGGGAGGGAGAGAGGAAAAGAGGGAGAAAAAAGGGAGGGAGAAAGAAAGAAAGGGAGAGAAAGAAAGAAAGAAAGAAAGGGAGGGAAAGAGAGAGAGAGGGAGGGAGAGAGAGTCGTGAGTGCAGGAACCTTTCCAGCCAAACCCTTCCCTCTTTCCTTCGCCTGGCCTCTCTCTTAACTGCTGGGAGCCGGGGTGGTGCAGGCAGGGGGGGGGAAGGGTGAGGGGGGGGGGCAAAAGGAAGGACTGGAGGCAGCTGCCAAAACAGCTGGAGGGGGCAGAGGGAGGCAGGGCCTGGTCATCTGCAGGACCCTCTTAATGACCCACAACTCCCCTGGGGAGGCGGCGCCTTTTCTGCCTCTCTAGTCGGGTCCGGAAACGGCCCGCAAATCTGCTGCTGCAGGGGGTCCTCGACTTCACGACGCCATTTGGGACCAGAAGGCAAAGCGGTTGTTAAGCGAAGGCACCTTCGTTTTATGACCTCTTCAGCCAGATTTGTCGAGTCAGCGGCAGCCGTTGTTAAGCGGATGCACTTATTTCACTGGAAGGTTGCAAACAGAGGGATCCGGCAAACCGCCCTGAGTACATGCCAGTTGCCAAGCGTTTGGATTTTGATCGGGGTGACCGTGGGGAAGGCTGCGACGGTCGCTAACTGCGAGGACGGGTGGTCAGTTGCCTTTTGGAGTGTAACTTTGAACGGTCCCTAAGTGAATGGTCGTAAGTCAAGGACTGATCCGTATTGCTGTCACTGTTGTTTTTATTATTTTAAATTGGCTGTCATCGTGGCTCAGGCTAAGATTTGGAGGGATTTGAAGCCAAGCCAGAGAAAAGAAATTGCGACCATTTTTCACACTTACGACCAAGGCCACATCCCCGCGGTCACATGATCAAAATTCAAGACACTCGGCAACCGACTCATGCCTATGACGATCACTACGTCCCACAGTCCCGGTGAACCCCTGCAGCAACTTCCTGACGAGCCAACGAGTCAAAATCGGGCCAAACTCAGTTAACAACGGTCTCCCTTGGCAACAGAAATTTCAGACTCCGGCGCGGCCGTGCGCCAAGGGCCAGCCGCAAGCTCGAATCGCCTTGCAATGATTAGGGAAAATGATCTTTTCCACAAACAGGGCAGCTCTTATCTGGAATATTTTCCATCCCACGAAGCCTACCCTGGCCTCCTGTGCACTTTAGACATGCTCAGATGCTGCCAAGGGTCTTTGGCGCCCAGCCCGAGTCCCGAAAACAATAAGAACCTCATTATTATCCTTTTTTCTGCCGGTTTTTCCCCCCCCATCCGGGCATTGCTCCCTCCTGGCACGGGGGGCACCCGGCACGTGTCTGGCAAACAGACCGTTTTTCAGGTGTAAAAATAGACAAATCCCCCAACCCCCCCGTTTGCTCCCTGGTTCCCGTCCAAATAAATTATTCCAGCCATTAAAAGCACAATCATTAAAGCAACAGGCGCACCTGGAAACCGGCCACCTATCACCCAACAACAAAGGGGAGAAAGAATCGCACGAACGAGCCGGTGGATTTCTCGCTCCCTGTTTGGAGGCTTTGGCAAGCCTTTCAGCTGCTGATCCTGCGTGACACACACACACCCCGCACCCCCCTCCCCATCATGCACTCTCTTGTCCTCAT